TTTCGTTGAATTTTAGGATTTGATGCTTAAACTTTAAACAAAATTTTTAGACTTCAAATTTAAATTATATATCTAGTAAATTATTTGGAATTCTTCTTTTAGAAACTTTTTTAAATTTCTATGAAGATTTGTTTCACGCAAAATATACATGCAGCTCTTGCTTTTTAAATTGAAAATTTATTATAATAATTAAATACTCTTTCATTGAGAAATTTGTATTTGGTCTTTAATTCTTATAAAAAGTAAACTTTCACAAACAAATAGTTTATTTCTTCGTTGAAAGTAATGAAAATGCCTCTGACGCATGCTGAACGCCAGAGAAAGCATAGAAGACAAATGCAAAAATTTGGTCCGGGCTTCATAATGGAAAAGGATTCAATACGGAAAAAGAAAAAACGAAATTCTAATGTTGAATTAGCACGTTTAAAGGACAAATTAAGAAAAAAAAAAGAGAATAGTTTCTTCATCTAAAATAGTATCTAACATCTCTCCTGCTTATAAATACATCTTAGTAAAGCAGTTAAAAAAGCAATACGTGTTCTTCCAACTTCTCCTCTTGAAAAAAAAAAAATATATGTATATATATATATATATATACATATATATATATATATATATATATATATATATATATATATATATATATATATATATATATATATATATATATATATATATATATATATATATATATATATATATATATATATATAAATATATATAAATATATATAAATTTATATATATAAATATATATATATATATATATAAATATATATATATATATATATATATATATATATATATATATATATATATATATATATATATATATATATATATATATATATATATATATATATATGTAATGTTAGTAGCTTAAATAAAAGAGTGGTATTTAAAGATTATTGATAAGCTGCAACAAATGTTGATTCATATAGATTATATAATGTATTAACTTTAATTAATTTATTTTTTTAAGCCTTTTTATAGTACTTTTAAAGTAGTAAAAGTATTTTTATTAAGATGTTTATATGATAATAATATAATAATAAGGTATAACTGTAACAACTGTTTTAAACAGTTGCGAAGTGCAATAACATAAGATATTGCACTGTAACAGCTCATTTTGTCTTTTGTTTGTGTTTTAACAAATAGTTTTTGCAAAATCCAGCTCTGTCTAGTTTGTTTTTGAAGTTATTTATTGAAATAGCTTCTATTATTTCAGATGGTAAGCTGTTCCACGCATTTACAACTCGATTTTGGAAAAAATGATACCTGAAGGTATTTCTGCTAAAAGGCTTCCTCATTTTGAATTTGTGTTGTCGCAGACATGGACCCTCCTCCAATGCATTTCCACAATCGTTAGCAACCCAATTTATTTTATCGTGGCCATGCTGAATTTTATATTGTTGAATCAGATCTCCACGTAGTCTACGTTCTTCCAGTGATGTTAATTGCATAATATTCAACCTAGCCTCATATGATAATTTCCTAATTGTAGGTGCTAGTTTGGTTGCTCTTTTTTGGATTTTCTTAATCTTGTCTATTTCTTGTTTTAAAAATGGAGACCATGCCTGGACCACAAACTCAAGACGTGGACGTATGAACGTTGTATAGAGCATTTTTACCATGTTTACATCTAAATATTTAAAGCTTCTCTTTATGGTACCTAACACTCTGTATATTTTGCTGATTGCTGAATCAACTTGTGAGTGCCATTTTAAATCGGATTGAACCATTATACCCAAATCACATTCAGCTTTTGTGTTACACAATGTATAATTGTAATTGCAATCAATATCAGTCATTATAAATGTAGCATTTGGATTTTTTTCCCCAATATGCGTAACTTTGCATTTTTCATAATTAAATTTTGTGAGCCAAATAGATGACCATGCCATTATGTTATTTATGTCATTTTGAAGGCTTATTGAATCATTAGGATTTTTTATAATATTTATTATTTTACTATCATCAGCGTAAAGTTTAATAGGGTTTTTGACTTGATCTGGCAAATCATTAATAAAAATCAAAAACAGCAGTGGTCCTAAAACTGACCCCTGTGGTACACCACTAATAACTGGTAGCCAATCTGAGACTGTGTCGCCAAGGACCACTCTCTGTTTTCTGTTAGTTAAAAAGTTCTCTATCCATCCCAGATAATTTCTCACAATACCATATGATTGAAGTTTAGTGATCAAACGCGAGTGTGGTACTTTATCGAAAGCCTTTTCAAAGTCTAGATACAACATATCAACTGAGTGGCCATTTTCTAGTGCATCTGTTATGATATCAAGAGTTTCCAATAGGTTTGTTGTGCAGCTTTTATTTTTTCTGAACCCATGCTGATTTTCATTTAATAAGCTGTTATTTATTAGATAATCCATAATTTCATCTCTAATGAGTGATTCCAAAACTTTACATGGGATAGAAGTCAATGAGATTGGCCTGTAATTAGATGCAATGTTCGTATTACCTTTTTTAAAAATTGGTGTTATATTTGCTAATTTCCAGAGTTCAGGTAATTTTTTCTCAGTCAACGATTTTATATATATTAAATGTAATGGTTCACAGAGAGTACTATGACATTTATTTAAAACATATGGGCTTATCCCATCTACTCCGATAGCTTTGTAAACATCTAATTTTTTTAATTTTTTTTCAATAGTATGGCAAGTTATTTTATTATTTATATCTTCTTCTAGAATAATTTCAGTCTTCTGCGGTATATTTAATATGTTATGTTTATCTTCGTTAACACAAACTGAATTGAAACTATTGTTTAAAATATTTGCTATAGATTCTCTATTTGTTACAATGTTAGTATATTCATTAGACATTGAAGCTATTCCTCCTTTAATTTTTTTGTTAGAATTTACATAACTATAAAATAACTTGGGATTTATTTTTGAGGTTTCACTGATTTTTTTTTTTCATATTCAATACGTTTTAACCTCACCATGTTTTTAACTAATTTACTTTGTATTTTGTATTGCTGAACCAAAATGGGTGATTTGGATTTATTTGATATTATTTGTTCCATAAGGTTGTTTTATGTCTGATTTCAGTCTTAATTTGTTTGTCAATATATGATTTTAAAGCTATGTGTTTATGCACTTTTTTAGGTATATAACAGTCAGATAATTCTTGATATTTATTTACAAAAATTTTGTAGCATTCATCAACGTTTTTATTAGAAAAAATATGTGACCATCTTATATTATGGAATGAATTGTTCATTTCTTGATAATTTCCGGCTTTGTAGTTAAACTTTGATTTCCCATAGGAAGATTTTGATGTTGTTGGTTTTTTTAAGATGGAATTCCAATACAATATCTGATGTGCATTATTTAAATTGCTTAATGGAGGATTATAGCCTATGATCGAAATACGCTCTGGTGCATCGGTTAAAATCAAATCTAAGGTATTGCCTTCTGACAGTGTCCCTGATTTAAAGGTTGGTTTTGTGACGTTTTGAGTCAAAAAGTTATCATTTAAATTGTCTAAAAAAATTTGTGCTTGTCTATCATTTTTTAACACTGTTTGGATATTCTCATCATTCTCATTCCATTTTATATTTGGGTAATTTAAGTCTCCGACTAAGAGTAGACCTGAATATTTGTTGCAATCAACACTTTTTTTAGCTATATTTATTATTTTATTTTTTGATTTGTCAATTCTGTAGCATCTGGTGGACGATATATGCTACCAATTAAGATATTCTCATTTTCTGTTTTAATGACACACCAGACTTGTTCACCTGTCATTTCTTCAGATGCTAGGTCATATAGAGTGTAAGCAATGTATTTATTTTTAACATAAATGGCTACACCTCCGCCATGAGATTTAGTTGAATTAGATTTAGATCGATTGTTGTAAAAAACATTATACCCGCTTACATTTATGGCACTTGATGAGTTAAACCAAGTTTCAGTTACAATAAATATGTCAGGATTATACACTGCTATTTCTAACAAAAACAAATCGAACTTATTGTTAAGTGAAGTCGCATTTGTATATCTACAACATAGATGGTATTTGGGTATTGATTTGCATAATAATACTTCTGATTTAACATAATTAGATACAGGATTATGTGTAGATGAGTTTTTTTATGAGTTTCACAACTTTAAAATTTCTTATAGTGTAGTAGTATTCATCTTTTTGATTTAGGCTAGCATTTAACAATTTAACTTCACTACGTAGCTGTTTAATGAGATCTCTTTCGGATTCTGTCATATCTGAGTTAAAATAGATTTCATTTATCTTGTTTCTGTTAATTTATGCACCTTTTAATACACTTATTTTGTCTGACGCATTGTCTAACTCAATGATAACTGGTGGTATTTTTGATGTGTCTCTTGTTTTGAGTCAAATGACTTTTTTTATTTTATCCTTGTCTGCATTTATTGAGTCAAAAATATTGTTTACCATATCTTCATCACATTTTTTCTTGTCAATGTTATCATGATTTGCTAACTTAACACCAAAAATAATAATATTATTTTTTCTTTTATTACGTTCTTTTTCCTCATGTAGAACCGTGTTTATAATATCATTTTGGCCTTGATTTGTTTTAACTTTTAACTGATGATTGTATTGCAATAATAAATATTACTTAAATATTTTATGACTACTTAAATATTTATGACTATTACTTACTTATTATATTATGAATATTACTTACTTAATTACTTAATTATTATATTTATGAGTATTACTTCCTTAATTATTTATGACTACTTAAATATTTTATGATAAAAAATGAAAAACAGTAACATACTATTACAGTACGAAGATTTTATTTGATTTTGAGTATAATTACGTTTTGATGCAAATCAAGTCTTCAAACTGTTACTAACAGTTTTAGGGGTACTTGAGTTACTTTACACTAAAGTAACTTGAGTTACTTTAGGCTAAAGTAACTTTTTTAGTACTAAATAAAAATGAGTACAAAAAAACATAAGAATGTTAAGTTATTATTGTACTAAACTAAACCTATTTTTAAGGTTATAATATTTAAAAAATATTAATTTTATTCTCTATTTAAAAATAAATTTATAAAACCATTACAGACATGCCTAGAAAATGCTCAGTAGGTAATTGTCGTCGAAATTATGACAGTGCAAATGAGCATGTTAAAGTTTACAAATTTCCAAGTGACAAAGAATTATGTGAAAGATGGTTAGCAGCTTTACCAAATAAAATTCAATCACCAACAGACAATATGGGTGTTTGTGAAAAGCACTGGCCTTTGGGGTGTAGTATGCACTATCCAAAAAGATCTAAATATCAGGTGAGTCGAATTCATATATATAAACAAAAATTTCAAATCAATGTTGTAGTTATACTTGTAAGCTTTATTTGGTTCAAATTAAATAGATAATCTAAAATCAATGGAAACTTTTTAGATTCCATCAGATCCTCCTTCACTATTTCCTGGGTGTTTTCCTTCAATGTTACGACAAACAGGCAAAACATTCCCTCAAACAAATTTTGAAAAAATTTCAATTAAATCAAGAAACTCATTCTGTGATGAACTCGATTCTTTCAACAAAATTGATAAAATAAAAAATTTTGAAGTCAAACAGTTTCTTACAGATGTAAAGCAGCGGTAAGAAAAGTTCTAATTAAATATAAATTTTGTAGGATTTTTTTGTGTTAGTATTACTAATAAATAATTCTTTTAAATATTTCAAGGTTTCCTGATTATTTTGTTGTTACAAATGCATTGGATCTGACTGTTTTTAATATGACATTTTCGCGTCCACCAGAAACTAATATTTCTGTTACAATCAATACTCACACTCAACAGTTACATGCTTATATCAAACACACACAAATTCATTGCAATGATATTTTGGGGTTTTCTCACAAACTCACTCGGTGGTCGCAGTTAGAAGCAATTATTTCAAGAATGAAGTCATCTAAACCTCAATTAAGCGAGGAACTAAAACATTTATTGCAAGAGATTAAATGTACATATGGAGAAAAATCTGATGAAATAAATTTTTTGATTGAACAACTACAACTGCAGATGATGCCTGTGAGAGGCAAGCGTTACTCTACGCTAGTTGTACGACGAGCTTTAGAACTCTACCTTTCTTCAAGATGCTGCTATCGAATTCTTTGTGATACACTTTCACTCCCACATCCAAGAATTCTTAAACTAAAATTAGGCAGAATCGGTGAAGTAGGAACACAAAAAGAATGTGAAGAATGTATTAAAACCGTGTTTGAAACATTAACTATTGCGGAAAAACGTTGCTGCCTGCTATTTGATGAAATGTATGTAAAACCAAGTATACGTTTTCGTGGATGTCATTTAATTGGTTATAGTGAAGACAATCCTGCTGAAATTTCCAAGACAATTCTTTGTTTTATGATTAAGCCAATGTTTGGAAAACCAGCTTTTGTGTGTCGTATGGCTCCAGTTTATAAGCTATCTGGCATTTTTGTACAAAATTTAATTGTTGAAATCACACAGACAGTTGCTAAACTTGGTGGAGAAATTTTATGCCTTATTTCAGACAATCTTCCCACAAATCGTAGCATATATCAATTTTTTGCTTTAAGTTTAAATGAGCCATGGCTTGGTAATATTTGCAACCAAAGTATAATAATGCTTCATGATCCAGTGCACTTGTTTAAATCAATTCGAAATAACTGGCTTACATAAAAAACTGGAACAATTCATCTGACACTAAATAGTCAATTATTTAAAGGGTATTGGAAAGATTTGGTAAGTTTATATGAAAAAGAAAAAAATAATGTTATCAAGTTGACAAATCTTTCATACAAAGCTATTCATTCAGGTGTAATTGATCGACAAAATGTCACCAATATGTGTGCTGTTGTTAATGAGAAAACTGTAGCAGCCCTTAAAATTTGTGATTTTAAAGAGACAAGCGAGTTCCTTGAAAGAATATTATTGATATGGAATTACCTTAATATTAAACAAGAAGGTATGGACATACGTTTAAATGATCCAAATAGAGCTTCATACAAAAATGTAAATGATAAACGACTTCAAGAGATTTTGACATTTGCTGAAGCTGTTGCAAAAATGCCAGGAGGAAAGGGCTGGAAGCAGAACAAATCATTCACTAGTGAAACGAAAATTTCTTTGTCGAATATGCTTTACGGAATTGTAGATTTAATCCGAAAATTGCTGAATGAAGATCATCAATATGTTCTTTCCGGAATATTTCAGACAGATCGGTTAGAAGGAGAATTTGGAATATACAGGTAGTTAAATAATTCCTTACCTATTTATGATCAGATTGATATTGTTGTTATTACATTTAACAGATTCAGACTGGCACTGAAGGGCCCGGGGGCAAAAATAAATTAAATCCTTAATCGCATATTTTTTGGTTATAAGTAGAAATAACTTTTATTTAGAAATAACTGGTATTTTGTAACATCAAAAATGATATTTCATAGAAATAACTATTTTTATGTATTTTTTATGTATTTTTTATGTATTTTATTAAATTTTTATGTATTTTTTGTGGCAGGGGCTCTGGGGTAAATCCCTCCCAACCCCCTCACCACTCTGACCCTACATTTAAGAACACTAATTTTTGTATGTATCTTGAAATAAAATTCAAATTATATATAGTTTAGATTTTTTTATGCCAGGCAACTTTGTGGAGGCAGTTATCATGTTTCGGTTGAAGAAGTTAAAAATAGTCTTCGTTTACAACGCCTGAAGTTGTTTAGTAAATTGGATGCTATGGGTGTACCTATTTCTCAATGCTCAATTATTCAATCAGAGTGTTGTCAATTAGATCTGAATGAGGATGACATTAGTTATCTTGATACATCTGTCTCTTCAGTTGATGCAATTTCTGAAGAAGAAAATGCTGCCCTATATTACATTTCGGGTTATGTCCAGCATAAATTTTTACCAAGTATATCCGTATCTGGTACCTTTGTTACCAATGCATCTGAGTTTACTGAGTTAGTATCTCGTGGTCGACTATGTCACCCTACTGAGGATCTATTTAAATATGTCAGATATGCGTATTCTCTTTTTATTTTATTACCTAATGCAGAGATGCGGTTCCAGTGCGTTAGATACATTTCTAAACTTTTTATATATTTCTATACAGCTTTACCTTTCGATTTACAAGCATTACCAATCAACACAGTTGTTTCCACCATTTTGAATTGTTTTTTCAAGGGTCTAACGAAATTGAATGAATCGTCAGACAAAGTTTCTTTAAATATTGAAGACCGCAAAGTTAAAAAGTTTTGCAAATAAATCAAACAACACGCAATATGTGGTTAAAATGGTTATTTTTTAAAATTGTTAACATTGTTTTAACACAGAAGTTAGATCATTTTAGATAATCCACTTTTTTTGTTGTTGAATTTTGAAAATTCTTATATTTATAATTATATTTATTATTTAAAATTCTTATATTTATTAATGTTTGAAGATTAATAAATTATGAATTAATTTTAATTTTTAATGAAATGATTTAAATGGTTTCAAGTAATTAAATTTTATAAGATCCCTTTATTTACTGCATCCTTTGATTAACTACATAAGATCAATTTATTTACTAATTAAAGATTAAAGTTACTAATCCAGGCCTTATAAAAATAAGGTTCCTTTTTTACTATAAATTGTCATAAATTTAATGAGTTATGAGATTAAGATGTTATTTAATGAGAAACAAAAAATAACTCTGAATAACTGTTAATATTAGTATCAAAATCATTTAAGTGTTAAACTTCAAAAAATTTTCGAACATATTCAACTTTCAGCCCTCTGGTCAAAATCGCATGAAATCGAAGTTGCGCGTCCCGGTATTTTAGTAGTCCCTGTATAAATATATATAAATTTATATATAAATATATATATATATATATATATATATATATATATATATATATATATATATATATATATATATATATATATATATATATATATATATATGTATATATATATATATATATATATATATATATATATATATATATATATATATACATATGTATAAATATATATATATATATATATATATATATATATATATATATATATATATATATATATATATATATATATATATATATATATATATATATATATATATATATATATACATCTATGTATATATCAGGGGCGGATCCAGGGTGTCGCGAATGATGCGCATGCATCAGTCTTTTTTCACCGCTAAATTTAAGTGTATCTCTTTTTCACTTTTTTTTCTTAATTAAAAGTAAAAGGAGAAATTGGAATCTGGTATTCACAAAAAATGAAAAACTTGTTTTAAACTCGAAAAAAAATCATTTAAAGTCAATTTTATTTGATCTCTATAGTTACTTATTCGTTACTTAGAGAAAATTCCTGCGTTTTGGAGCAACTGATGCAATTGTTCTTCACTAAATACAAATGTGATTGATTTTAAAAAAAAAATAGTACGTTTTAACCAATCATATTTGTATTTTTCACAAATTTTTCCGATCACTTTGTAGCAAGTGATGCAATTGTACTCTAAATCATTAATGATTGGTTAAAAAACAATTTAAACCAATCACTATTTAATAAAATAACAATTGCATCATTTGCTACAAAACTTCCGCAAAAAAATTAACAAAAAAGATAAGAAATGTTATTTATAACCAATCAAATTTGTAGAAAGTTTAGAACAATTGCATCAGTTGCTCCAAATCGTTCAAATTTTACAAAATTCTGATATGCCGCCTGATATACGTTCTTCGCTCGTAATTTTCGTCGTTGGACTTAGCTTGTAAACTAAAGTTTTGAAAAAAAATGAATTTTTTAGTCTCAAATACAATTAAGCCTAGACATTTGCCAAATATTTGCAAATATAAAAACCAGTTGACTGAAGAATTGAAAGTTTTAAATAATAAGAGTCCAGTTCAGCCACATAGTCAGTCTTCTGAAAATACTGAAATGGATCGTTTTATCCCAAAGAAAGAAGATACTAAAAATTATGTTGCTTTAAGGTAAAACCCTATTATTAAAGTTAATGGTATTTTATATTTCCAGCTAGTATTTAATATAAACTGAGCTTGTTTTAGTATACTTTTTATTTTATTTAAGGTCATCTGAAGATTGCCGGCAATTTCCATCTTCAGATGACCTTAAATGATCGTTTTATCCCAAAGCAAGAAGATACTAAAGATTATGTTGCTTTAAGGTAAAACCCTATTATTAAAGTTAATGGTATTTTATATTTCCAGCTAGTATTTAATATAAACTGAGCTTGTTTTAGTATACTTTTTATTTTATTTAAGGTCATCTGGAAATTGCCGGCAATTTCCATCTTCAGATGACCTTAAATAAAATAAAAAGTAGAGGCATGCCTCTGGCAACTGTAGAGGCATGCCTCTACAGTTCAGCTTCACTTTTAAGCAATTCGTCTCTGAAGACAGTTATTGTATTGAGGCTTCTAACTTCGATTGAATTGTTTGAAAAAGTTTGCTACTATGCGAGGTACTCCCTTTTTGTTAAATAGGTTAAAAACAATAATTTTTTTAATCTTTCCAGTGTTCTAGTAGCCTGTGTTTCTTTTGAATGTTCAGATCAATTTAAATTAATTAACAGTGAATCTACTTCTGAAATTATAATAATGGAAGCATTGATCAACTGCTGAGCTAACAAGTTTTCTTCATTTTTATGTCTAATTGCTTTGTCATCAGTTTTATATATTCCTATTAGATTAATTTATACTGATTTTGGCTTAGAAAAATTCAAAAAACTTTTTAATACAATTATTTTTCCATTTCGTTCAATTAAAAATCAAGATCAAAATGTTTTAAATATTTTATGGTGTAATACTGATATTATGTCAGTGATGCAAAATAATGATAACTGGACACCGAACCATTTTGTACCAATTATTAAAAAACCTAAACTAATTTCTAGTAATAATAAGAATTATTATTACTAGAAATTAGTTGCTTCTCGAATAAAAGCTCTTAATCATAAAGCTATATTTGTTCATTGTGCAAGCCATAGACTTAGTTTAGTAGTAGCAGCATGCCAAGTAAAAAAAAGGTAAAAAATCTTCTTGGCCAAGTAAAAGAAATATATATTTTTTAACTTATCTCTTAAACGTAGTCACTGTCTCAAAAAATATTTAAGTCCAAATCAAGAAAAAATAATAGATACTTGTCGAACAAGATGGGTTCAAAAGCTGAGAGGTCTTGATGTTTTTTTTTTGATAATTTTATACCTATTATTCATGCTTTAGAGGAGATGAAGTTAAATGAGTCTAAGGAATATAGCAGTGAAACTGCTTCCAAATCCTTATTTTTTTTAAGATTATTAACAGATTTCTCTTTTATTGTAAGTTTAATTATTACAAAACAATTAATGGATTTATTTCAATTCTGTTTTTTTTTCAAATTCAATTACTGTAACTCTTCAAACTAAATCTTTTGGCATATCCCAGCAGTGTTTTGAAATAACTAATCTAAAAAATCTGTTATTAGAAATTAAAAATAAAATTGATATATATCACACTGAATGGTACGCTATCGCGTACTCATTTAATCTAGGTCTCACTTCTTGATATACAAGAAGTGAGACCTAGATTGTGTAATGTCCAGGTTTACCGGGATAATTATCCAACAAATACAGTTTGTGACTATTTTAAACACAGCATTACATCTCCATTAATTGAACATCTTATTAATGAGCTAGATAATAGGTTTCCAGAAAATGGCATGTTTTTTTATAAAGGTCTAGCAGCAGTTCCTTCAACTGTACTGTCCAGAATACAAGTTAAAAAACCATGGAAATCTGATTTTTATGAATTTTTAAATTTCTATTCATCTGATATGCCTCATTTTATTTTACTTTTTTCTTATTTCTAATTTGATTTTTATGAAATTAGAAATAATTATCTAATATTGTGTGTGTGTGTCTGTGTGTGTGTGTGTGTAAATGTATATATATATATATATATATATATATATATATATATATATATATATATATATATATATATATATATATATTTATGTCCAGAAGTGGAGGGCCAACCTTAGGCAATATTACTTTAAACTCCAGAAATGCAGGGCTAACCTTGGGCAAAATGACAGTATACAGATGAAGTGCAAAGTCCTATGGCTTACCTTCTCGTTGGTGCACTTTGTTAAGTAAATTAGGCTTAAAATTACATGTCTAATTTATGAACAAAATAGCCAAGGCAACATTTGTAAAAATTTCTGCTAAAAATGGATACTGCAAAAGCAATACAAAATTTAGTTATTATTCAATGATATAAACAGCGGCGCTGTTTATATCATTGAATAAAAAAAAATTTCGCATCACCCTTTTAAAATGCTAGATCCGCCCCTGTATATATATATATATATATATATATATATATATTATATATATATATATATATATATATATATATATATATATATATATATATATATATATATATATATATATATAGCAAATAGCTCGTCAGCTTGTAACTATAGAATTGCAATGAGCAGAATGGGCTATACAAATTTCTTATCTTACTCTAGGATTTGATGCAACAACACAAAAAGGTGTTAATATTAATACGATTTACTTTTCATCACAACTTTAAGGTCAATACTCTAGATTATAATAGCCATATATGTTGTGCAGTTGATCATTTAGCTTTTGTTACTTCAGACTTCCACTTGCTTCTATTTAATGAATCTTGTAATGCAATCATCTCAAATATATCAAACATAATGTCTGATTGAGTTTCAGTTAACCATCTAACATGACTAAATTATGTGATACCTGGGAATAGAATCTAAATGAACTAAACTGCCATTTGCATCCACTTGACAAAATTGATATTTCATGTCGCGAGGTCTTCAAACCTCTATAGTTCGAACATTGCGAATCGTTTGGAAGTGATTATATAACAGTCAAAATTGTTTTAGCTGTAAGCAAGATGAGGTTTAAAGATGTCAAAGGTGACACACAGGGGTTTGTAAATTTCTTAGACAATAAAAAACTGCCTCGAGGTATTATTCCAAGGTATCGTGGAAACCGTCTTTACATTCTTTTTCATACTTTTATTTTCATAAAATACTATACTGATTTTCAACTTTGTCTGACCACTGTAACAGTAAAATGTGCTAGTTTACTACCAATTCAACGAGCAGTTTTGTGTAATGCAACTGCTATAAAACAAATGGTATATATATATATATATATATATATATATATATATATATATATATATATATATATATATATATATATATATACAATGCATGTACATGATGTATATACGTGTGTGTGTTTGAGTGTATATGTTATATATATATATATATATATATATATATATATATATATATATATATATATATATATATATATACATATATATATATATATATATATATATATATATATTTATATATATATATATATATATATATATATATTTATATATATATATATATATATATGTGTGTGTGTGTGTGTTTGTGTGTGTGTGTGTGTGTGTTAGTGTGTATATGTAATACATTCATATATATATATATATATATAATATATATATATATATATATATATATATATATATATATATATATATATATAATGCATGTACATGATGTATATACGTGTGTGTGTTTGAGTGTATATGTAGTATATATATATATATATATATATATATATATATATATATATATATATATATATATATATATATATATATATATATATACATATATATATATATATATATTTATATATATATATTTAAATATATATATATGTGTGTGTGTGTGTGTGTGTGTTAGTGTGTATATATAATACATTCATATATATATATATATACATATGTATATATGTATATATATATATATATATATATATATATATATATATAATATATATATATATATATATATATATATATATATATATATAATGCATGTACATGATGTATATACGTGTGTGTGTTTGAGTGTATATGTAGTATATATATATATATATATTATATATATATATATATATATATATATATATATATATATATATATATATATATATATATATATATATATATATATATATATATATATGTATATATAATGCATGTACATAATGTATATATGTGTGTGTGTTTCAGTGTATATGTAATATATATATATATATATATATATATATATATATATATATATATATATATATATATATATATATATATATATAATTATATATATTTATATATACATATATATATATATATATATATATATATATATATATACATATATATATATATATATATATATATATATATATATATATATATATATATATATATATATATAATATATATATATATATATATATATATATATATATATATATATATATATATATATGAGTGTGTGTGTGTGTTTGTATGTGTTAGTGTGTATATGTAATACATTAATATATATATATATATGAGTGTGTGTGTGTGTTTGTATGTGTTAGTGTGTATATGTAATACATTAATATATATATATATATATATGTGTGTGTGTGTGTGTGTGTTTGTGTGTGTTAGTGTGTATATGTAATACATTCATATATATATATATATATATATATATATATATATATATATATATATATATATATATATATATATATATATATATATATATATATATATATATATATATGAATGTTTTGAAGTCTGTTTATAAGAAATCTTAGCTCTAATTTGAGCATGATGTTAGCAACTTTTAATAACTTTTTCTTTTTTTTTAAGTGCTAACTTTTTTATAAATACTATAAATAAGAAAATAATAAATAATTAATAGAAATATATAAATAATTATAATATTAATAGTAATAATGAATAAAATAATAAGATGAAGAAATAAGAAATTTACTTAACAATTTGTCATTTATGCAACTTGATGATTTAGATTATATTATGTGTAAAAATAACTATTAGCAGAACATTGTCATGAATGGTATACTAACGATATATCCAAGACAATTTTCTATGATGGCAGAGTAATAAAAGTTGATTAAAAAAGTCATAATTTACATTTTTTGTTACTTTTATAATGTTTATATAATGACATATGCATTATATAACTAAAATGTGTTTTATTTTAATTTAAACTCCATTACAGTTGAACAGCTCAACATTAACAATATATTAAAAATATACATTTTTGTTCTTTAGATCTTCATTAACTGGCTCCTTTCTCTGGATGAGCATTATATGCACATGATAAAACAAATTAGATATATTTTAAAATTACTTTGTTGTATACTTTAGCTCCTATATTACATAAGCCTACATTAACTAGTCAATTTTTTGCTTTTTTAACTAAAACTTTAAACTTAAGTTCTGTTCTACTGTGCGAGCCATCTTTATTTTATTATCATAATGCAGCAAAATATTAAACATAAAACAAAACAAAAAAATATATATCAACCTGCTTTGGAGTAATGTTAACGCCTGCAATCCAGTTTATATATGTTTTTACTTTACCTGATGTTATTATACCAATCCCTAACAAAAAGAATACAATAAATACTCTACATAAGATTTGATAAAGATTAAATGGTTTTTAATACTGCTCTTATAAATATATATAATAATCATTTGTATATAATAGATTATAACACCTGTAGTTTGATCACATTTTAGTATCACATTTCATACCAACCAACTTTTGTGCTATATTTTAATTTTTTACTGTAAATTTCACATTACGATTCGGATAATGGACTAAACCATTCAACTTGATGGAATTTCATTCACACAAACATATAATCTTTTGAGTATACAAACCAAAACATACTGGTCTACACTATAGTTTCATAATTATAATAAGACTTTGATTGTATATTTGACATATATATATATATATATATATATATATATATATATATATATATATATAATATATATATATATATATATATATATATATATATATATATATATATATATATATATATATATATATATAAATCTTGAATTAATTCAAATATTCATCTTTAATCCACCTTTTTTATATAAAATATGCAATGTAAGGTATTGTACACAATGTAAAAAGACTTTTAAAAAACTTGCGTATAATGCCAATTCTTATAAATTTTTGTAAAATGTTATTTTACAATTCTTATAAAATTCCAATTCTTATAAATTTTTGTAAAACATATTTCCATAGCAAAAAAATCTTTTAATGTTTTCATTTTTATTACATTAACACATTTATTAAAAGTTTTTAAAGAACTATCCACCGCACTACCGTATGTGAAATATTAAATTTTATTTAAAATACGAATTATTAGTACATTTGCAACGGCGAATTCTCATCTAAATTTCAGCGTAATTTAAACGTTATTTCAACGTTTATTTTTCAACGTTAATTCAACGTTTGTTTTTAGTTGAAAATAAACGTTGAATAAACGTTGAAATTTTAACGATTTTTTTTTTTTTAACGTTGAACTAACGTTGAAATAACGTTGAAATTTAGATCGTTGTTTTTCAACCATATATCAACGATTTCGCAACGTTGAAAGAACGTTTAAACAACGTTATGTGCTTGCTGGGATATATAATATTCATGTATTTATTTATATATATATATATATATATATATATATATATATATATATATATAATATATATATATATATATATATATATATATATATATATATATATATATATATATAATATATATATATATATATATATATATATATATATATATATATATATATATATATATATATATATATAACCCGCTCAACGGGCTTAAAGCTAAATTTTCGCCCCAAAAAGTCATTTTATGAGCCTTCAATTAATTTTTTTTCGTTCGAGTGAATAGGGACATTTGTGTGATAAATTAAAACAATAACTCAGCAAATTAGAGACTTTTAGAACAGCTTTAGATGTTGTTTTGTAAGTTTTTTATGTTAAAACTTTGACCTGGTTTTTCAGGGTTTTTACGCAATATTAGACTTAATATTCCCAACGGGCATTTGTTGGTTTAAAATTGGTTTAGATCACGTTTAGATGGCATTTACGTCGATCTAAACGTTTATTCTAAATGTGTTCTGAATATTTAATTTGCGTTGAAAAGCTAAATCAAACAATTTCCGTACTGAACTAACGTAATTAAATTAGCTTCGCACAGAATGTGTTGGACATTTTGAATCTTTCATTATGATTAAAAATTAGAATTTCTTATGAATCTTAAATTATGTAATAAATTGTTTAGAAAAGATAAAAGAAGTTTATTTTTAGTATTACATTGTGGCTAATAAAGCAGCTAAAAAGTCCTGTAAGTTCTTCGATAATATTGTATAAGCGATTAAAAGTTATTTCAAGTACAGTAACAATGTATTTTAATAATTTTTTTTTTTAGTTATTGCTACTAAAATAGCAGTTTCAAAAAATCAGTTTCAGTATTTTTTTAAACAATTTCTTAAATTGTTTTTTCTGTTTGTTTTTAATAACGCTATAAAACGTCTATAGCTTAACTCTTATAGCCATTCCAGAAAATTGTTTTATAATTCGAATAAGTAAATAAAATTAATAATGCATATTATTGTATAGAGCTTGACTTGATTTAAAAAATGAGGGGTTATTCAGCCTTTGAAGTTGAACGGATCAAAAGTTATTGAATTTTTTGTAGTGAAAAAGTTGATGATTTTTTGATGAAAGGTATAGGGCTTAAGTATGGAAAATTTGCAGTGTTACGGCACCGAAAAAGAGAGTATTTTTGGATCATATTGACTTTTGAATAACTTTTGAACCATTATCTTGGAATTTTTGACTTTTTTATAGTGATTCAACAACTATAAGAAAATAAAAAACAAAAAAAATTATTTTTTAATTCTGTTGGGATTGTCCAGAATCATCTATTTTACAGACTAAGGATTTTTACTTATTTACTTAGTTTTGGGGTCATATTGACTCTTGAGTAACTTTTGAACCATTATTACATTTGACTTAAAATTTTCCATAGTGATTCCACAACCATAAAAAAAAAAATACCAAAAAAAAAAATTTAATGTATCGGAATCATCTATTTTACAGACTGAGGGTTTTACCTAACTTAATTAGTTTTGGTGTCATATTAACTTTTGCATAACCTTTGAACCATTATTGAATTTGACTTGTTATTTTCCTTGGCAATCCACTAACTATTAGAAAATAAAATACCAAATTTTTATTTAATCTGACAAAATTGACCAGAAACATCTATTTTACAGACTGAGGATTTTCACTTATTTACTTAGTTTTGGTAAATAAAATTTGGAGTTATATTGTACAATTGTATAATTTACAGACCAGTCAGTAAATTACTTTAAAAAGAGTGCACAAACCAATTGGGTATATTGACTTAGAATATATTTGATATTGTTCAAAACGTTATTACATTAGACTCAAAGTTTTTCATAATAATCCAATTTTTTTTATAATCTGACAAGATTGACCAGAAACATCTATTTTGCAGACTGAGGGTTTTCATTTATTTACTTAGTTTTGGAAAACAAAATTTGGGGTTATATTGTAATTACAACATGCAAATATGAATAAAGGAATCATGGAATCCAAATAATACCTCATTTTGAAATTATTGTATAATTTACAGACCGGTCAGTTAATTACTCTAAAAGAGCTGCACAAACCAATTGGGCATATCGACTTTGAATATATTTGATGTTTTGAACCATTATTACATTATACTCAAAATTTTTTATAATGATTCAATTTTTTTTTTAATCTGACGAGATTAACCAGAACCATCTATTTTACAAACTGTGGGTTTTCTTTCATTTACTTAGATTTTGATAACAAAATTTGGGGTTATATTATTATACCATGCAAACATGCATAAAAGATTCATGGAATCCAAAAAGTAAATCACTTTAAAACTATATTATAATTTACTGACCGATCAGTAAATTACTGTGTAAGGTCATTGAAATCTATTAGAATGACTTATTTAACAGGCAGAAGATTCATCAATAAAGTTATAATTTTTTATTAAAAATTACTAACAGCAAATAAATGTCCTGAAATTTGGAGTACTTACAACAGCAATAGGCAGGTATAACAGCAGAATCTCTACCCTAAAATGTTACAAAAATATTATTAGAAACACAGATACACAATGAGTTAAAAATGTGTTTTGTTGATTTGTTTAAAAATTAAAAAAATTTAAACTAAATAAGTATAACATAAGAAACTTACTCTTTAAGATTGTTTATGTGAACTATTGACAATTCCTAAGATAAAAAAATTAAAAAACATAAAAAAATGTTTTTATTCCAAAATTTATTTCTTAGCTTTTAGTGAATGATTAGAAGTAGCAAGATTCAATAACGAAACAAACTAATAACTATTTTTAAAAATAGACACCAGCGAGAAGGTAAGCCAAGTAGTCGATCAACACAAAACATCACAACAATAACATCACAATCACAAAACATACAGACCCTGTGGCACTAAACGCTTTTAAATTGCAATGATATTGATATTCCTATACTGATGAATAGCAACACTGATACTATGTCTTCTAATTTACATCATCTTGGATTATCTCTTTGCACTGACCTCTCATAAAAACCTTATCATCATCGTTTTAGCGTCCTTGTTTCCGTGCTTGCACGAGTTGGACGTTTCTCATAATGGCGCTTCTCCAACATACACGGTCTTAAACATCTTTTCATAAATGAAACATTTTCAAATCATCTGAAACATACTCATTTTAAGTTTTTCTGTTTCTACCTCTACCTTTTTCTCCTGAAAGTTTTAACTTTCTACATGCTGATAACCAGTCATCTGCATCCTTACGCTCTACATGCCCAAACCACCTTAATCTTCCCTGACGCATCCTATCAGATACACTCACTTTGCCTAATCATTTTTTTAAATCATCACTACTTTGAAATGCTTATATACAAAGCATTTCAAAGTTAGTATTTGTATATTATATTTTAAGTGCGCCAAAAATTCATAATCATCTAGTTTTTTTCCTCAAACATCAGTTATTTAAAATTCACTCCATTCATCTTGTTTTCCTGATTCATATAATATGCAATTTTTCAAATCGTTTGTTAATTGTTATCTTGCTATATAAACTTCATCTTGCTCTTCTAGTATTTTCCAACTCTAAAAGTGATTGCTGGTAGCCTTATACTAAAAGATATAAAATAAAAAAATTAAGATATATATATAAAAAAAAAACTTCAGGGAACATAACATTAGATTTTTTGAGCTCAGTTTTCTCTTTTAATGATGCTTTTTCTGATATTGTTGGTTTTTTACCTTCTCATGTTAGTTCTACCCCTATTTTTATCTACAACTGTGAAATTGTTCTAAATCAGTTTATTGTTTTTGTATCTTCTGATTTAAACTTGCGAATCGCTAATGATAATTTTTTGTGCTCTGTTACTCCAAATTCTATTGTATACCTCCCTTTAAGAAATGGTTCTGATATTTTTCTTCATCCATTTCATGAAACACATTCACTATGAAACTTTTCATGAAATATTTTCATTCACTATGAAACATTTCATGAAACACATTCACACATTAAACACATTCATGAAACACTTCATTCAATTCATGAAACACAAGTTAATTAAGAGAATCTTCCAGTTTCCAATTTGGATAAAAAAACTTTTTATATTATCTGGTGATTTAACCTATCAAATATAGAATAATAGAATAATATAAGTAGGTGTAGAACTAGCATCAAAAGGTAACAAACCAACAACATCATTAAATGCAATATTCAAAGAGAAAACAGAGCTTAAAAAATACTTTGTTAAAAAACAATTTTGGCACTTAAAAAGTCAAAAGATTTAATTTTGCAATGAAATCTTTTGACTTTTTAAGGCACTTGATAAGCATAAAAAATAATGTAAGCTGTGGCTATGCGAAGTTAAATTTATCTTTTTCTTAACAAATTTGTAAGAAATGACTATTGGTTAAAACCAAATCTGGATTTTTGAGAGATACAATGCTTCTAATAATATTTAGATAATCCAAGACAGTGTTGGACGCTAAAATAAAAAGTAAACTTAACTTAAGTGACAACAAAGAAAAATAAAGGGTGAATCATTACACTTTGTGTTTGGACCAAAGTCTTTGGTTTCAATAAATAGAATTATTAAAATCAAAAAAATTTGTGCTACAGTATTCCTAATTTATAATTTTGGCTTACTTTCTTGAGTTATGATGGAGTAACCATTTTTTCAGGACTATTGTTAATACTAACACCTAAAATAAGGGAAATAAAGTAAGTATTACTAGAGTTTATAATACTTTAACCAACAAACAAAAATAGAGAAATAAAAGTAAAAAGAATTAAAGAACTTCTTACTCAAGTCCATGTTCGTGAGCTTTAGTTCAATACTAACTTTAGGTTTTTGTTTTGAAAAAAACAGTTTAAATAAGGGAAACCTGTAGTTTAAATAGCGAAAATCAAGTGTTTAACTTTTTTGCACAATGCAGAGCTTATACCTGGGAAGAAGTAAAATATTTGTTTTTATTTGATTAAAATTTTAAGAACTATACTTTTACTTTCAATTTAATTTTCATAATTTGACCAAAACAAACGCAAAAATCAAAACAAATAACGTCATAAAATACGCGAAGAAAAGCATATATATACACATAGTTTATATATGCAATTCCTTAGTAGCAATTCTTTAAGTAAACTTTAATAAATACATGTTTTAAATAGAGGAAAGGCTAAACTTACCATTTCCACCTGGACGTTTTTTAAAAACACTTTTTCATATAAATCAACCTTGAGGTTTTTAAACGCTAAGAACTAAAATTTTTGTATGAAAGTTAAAAAACGTTTTAAAAAAAATAGATGTGTTTAAGTTCTAAGGAATCCATACCTTCAAAAGCTTTGTTTTAAAAAAGCGTTCCCGCGGCAAGTTTTTTTTATGAAAAGTGGTCTTAAGATACGGATAATATATAAATGAAGCCATACAAAACTTAGTACTTTCTATATATGGTTAGAAAGAGATTGAGTAACACTAACTGATGCAAAAAATTTCAAGGCGCTTGCTTAGCTATACAAAAAGATATAAGAGAGCAAAGTTTATGAAAATTATGTGTTTTTTGTCAAACGCCAAATGTTTTTTGTTAAGCCGTGGAATCGCTAACTCTTAGCTTGCTAATTTTTCTTCTTTTACTAAAAGTAGAAAAATTATGAAAAATAGTTACTACATAATGCATAAATTTTCTCTAAAAGTTTTAGAGAAAAGTTATGCATTTTAAGTGGTAACTACTCTTTAAATAACTAAATAAAATTATTATTATTTGTTTATATTAAGACCTAACATCTATTTGTTTATGACAGATGTTATATTGATCGAGTAGTAATGTTATAATATTTATACTTTTAGTGCAGTCAGTGCCAATAAAAAATTGCGAGGTTCAATTATTTATATAATGGATCTTCAGTTTTAGTGTAGGCTTTTAGTCTAAACTGAAAAATGTTTATTAAAAATTTGAGTATTATTCATAAGCACTAAAGAGAAAATAAATTTACTTACCTCTGATATGATAGACTATTATATTGTATCATTTATTTTCTCTTTAGTAGAAAAGTTATCATGGTTTGATCAATAATATATATAGTTATGTTACATAATTTTCTAAAATTTGCGCAAATATATATTTTTTTATTGTTGATTAAGTTTTGCGTGTTTAATTTCATTTAATATTTTATATACAGTCCAATCAGTTGCAACAACAATTAAAGCAGCAGGAAACAGCCAAGTACACATGCAAGTGGTAAATTGATTTTTTGTGACGTTTTTACTCCTTCAAAATTTAGATTTTCCTAAAATAATAATTAAGTTAATGAATATTTCTGTAAAGATCATTCTGTAAATAAAAATTGCAATGATTTTTAAAACTAATAGTTATTTTTAACAAATTAAACTTTTAACAAGTATTAATTTATACAAGATAAACTGCTAACTCTGTACTTTTAGATATGATTCTAGTAGTTGAACATCTGTCAGATATTTACCTTTTAAATCATAATCTAATTGCTCAGGCTTATGAAAAGCTATTTATAAAAATTTAACGTTAAAAAAATATTGTAAGTTTAAAGGTAATTCCTGTTTTATTTGAAAGGTACGTTGATGATTGGTTCGAGTCTTTAAAGTTTAAATTAGTTAAAAGAGAGATCAAATTATTCTGTTTTTATCTTATGCTCTATATCTAAAAGCTATTGAAATAATTATTGCATTATTATTCATTTATTTTATTATGTTACGAAAGACCTACCATGCCTGAAATTTTACGGTTTTTTTTTTTTTTATTCTATATCCTAAGTGAAGCTAGATGACACCTGTCGTTTTAAATGTAGTAAGAGTATTTCAGACTTCATTCTTTGAAATTTTTATTTCTCTTGCTATTTCTCGGTTATTGATGATGGAGCTAACCTATTATTTACTTTTTATGTTGCTTTCCTTAATATATTATGACCAATTTCTGTGTATCTTACCTTTCAGATCTTATCAAAGTATTTAAAAAAGGCTCTAAATGTATCTAAAATGGTAATTATAACCAATTTTAATCAATCTTTTGCTGGAAATTGCAAACTAACGTATAATTTAATAAAAAATTATGAATAAAAATAGGGTTCAGAAGAAAAATAAAACAAAAATCAAGCGGTTATTTGACTAGACCATATGGTTTTCTGCAGTGGTGGATTTAGCATAGAACTTGGACAAGAGGAAAAGAAGCTGCTTCTATGCTCCCCTGCGGGTATAAACGTCTGTAAGAAGTCTTTACAACGTCTTATAGACGTTACAAGTCCATATCATTAAGACGTCCAACAAAAGTTCTGTACTCGCTGGAAATAAAATTTTGCAGAAAAAAAAAACTGTATAAACCAGCAGAAAAGTAAATTTGTTTCTTAATGCTTGCTTTCAATAATGTCTTGTTAAGTTTTTAAGATTTATAATAAATGGCCACATAAAAGCATTGATAAAATATATTTATCACGAGTGCGCTTTTTAATAAAAATCTTTCCAGGGGTTAATGTTTCACCCCAACCCCTTGTTGCCAACTACTCATTCCTCTACCCTCCCTATCCCCCTTCCCCAACCCCCTTGACGCTAAACATCAACTTGCACCTGGTTTCTGGAAGTTTAACACGTTCTTTCAATAACAGCAATACTTTTTACATTTAAATATTCGAAAAAAAGTGTTTTTGTACCTAATAGTTTTATTATATGTTTGAATCATACAAACGCATAAAATAAAATATTGTACTATAATATTTTATACTTATTAATAAAATAATATCGTGTTACGATATTTTATTTTATTTCATACTTTGTAACAAATCAAATTTTATTTCATACTTTGAAACAAATCTTTGTAATAAATTCATACTTTGTTAAACAAATCTGTTTTTACTTGTTCGAACACGAAATTGTTGCGTATCGATAAAAAAACAAAAAAATATATACAATTAATTTTTATTATCCCGTAACAAAGTATGCACATTATTTCATCTGCAGAATAACAAGTTTATAGATTAATAAATTAAGTTATAAAAATGTAAACAATGTAAACAAAATAAAAAGTTAAATGTTGTTATTGGAGAAGAATACCTAAAACCAAATCATATTAAAACCAAACACATCTGCAGATTATTGTTAAAAAAAATATTTGAATATTGTTTTCCGTTTGATAAACATGAATACTAACTACTTGATAATTGGAATAGGATACGGAACACTACCATTTCAAGTACTAGGTGCATTTTTGGTAATTAAAGTTAAACAAAAATTTAATGAAGTTCAACTATTATTGTTGCTATGTAAGTGTTTTGTTGATATTCAGATGAGTACATTTCTACCTTCTCAAATTTTATGTGAAACTCTGAATTTGAAAAGCGCGTCTAATTTAATATCAACTTATACATCCACTGGTTTGACATTAGAATACTACTGTACTGTCTTTATGTTAACTGCTAATTGTTTTTCTGAAGTTTATTATAACCTTCGTTATTATCAAATATGGAGATATAGCTATGTTAAAAATGCTTTTCTAACAATTTTTGCATTTTCTGCAGTTGTTTCCTTATGTCTTTTGTGTTACGTGGTAAAGAATGACGAATTTATTGTTGAAATGTATTCATTTAAATACTTATATCCTCTTTTGAACAGCATTTTACTATCAACATTCTTAGGAACATACACCTACATATTTTGTATTTATCACCAAAATAATAGAGGTGGAAGATTTTCTACAACAGTTTTTAGTGAAAGATTTTCTACAACAGTTTTACGGAAGCGTAAAGAGTTATATCGAAACTTTGTTATGTTTAGCCTTTTAATTACAACCTTTGTTGTGTTTACATCTTTACCAGATACTCTTACATGTTATTTTTATTGGCGCTATAGAAAAAAGCTCGACTCTTTTAACGTCATTATAAACGTTATGTATTATATTGGATTTTTATCAGACTTATTAATATATACAATCCTTTCGGTTCCAGTAAGATACGAGATCCAAAAAATATTTATGCGGTTACTAAGTAGAAAAAAATTGATTAAAAAAAACACTTTGCGAAGTGTGCATCCGTCGGCAACGTCCTGTTAATCTTCAATATTATTTTTATTTTAAAGTGTATTTTTTTTAAAAAACCCAGAAGTTAAATAAAAGTAAATGTTAAATGAAGTATTTAAAATGTTTAATTAGGTAGTCATTTTTTTGAACGAAAATAACACAAAAAAGTTCTGAATATTTCTTTAATAATATTTTTTTGCGCGGTTTAAAGCTTTAACAAAATAAACCTAAAAAAGACAACAGACAATCGATAAAAAGGCAAAAAAAAACAAGAGGAGTTCTCAAGAAAATATTTGAAAATTCTTATCAATTTATGCAACTATTTTTGTTCCAAACCAATTTAATTGCATATTTAGATAAGCGTTTTCAACTTTTTCAACGTTTTTAACCGAACAAATTCTTTAAGTAAATGTGCCATTATATTTTTAACGACGAAGTGTTACTTATTATTAAAAAGTAAATAAGCTATTTTTTTATAGTTATATTCTATTTTTCTTATCGAAATATACTTCCTGGCGTTTAAGATTAAAAAAAAATGTTTCTAATCTTTGATGCTGTTCTATTCTGTAGAACATTCGCTGATCACAGTTTTTCTACTTTAGTTGACAATTATTTTCCGACGTTACAGAAGATTTATAAATTTTCCTCACAACTTTTCACAGCGGCAATTCTGAAAATAAAATGAGGGGAGGAGTTCTCGTGTTTGGATCTGTTTTATGCTCTTTAATAACCTGATTTGTTGATTCATTAAGTATATTTTGTTTAGCTTGAGCTTTCATTCCTAAATATTTATTTTTTTTTTTTTTTTATTGACCACATGCCTTATTGGCTAAGATTATGAGCAACATTTTTTCTCTAGAAGAAACTCCAATGCTTTAAGCATTTTTCAAGAGAGTTTTTTTTTTCCTTTATCTTGATTAGGGTGGTTCAAAAAATAATAATTCTGAAAATTATCTGCAGTTCTCATCTTAATGTGTTCTATATGATAAAATAACACTGCATTTAGAAGTTTTTTTTAAATAAAAAGGATATTTATATTTTTCATTTAAACAAAGTTTTAAATTTAAATAATCTATAAGGCATATTTGCAAGAAGGGCCAGAAAAATTTTCTAGAGCCATTGTTTCATAGCTAAATGGCTAAGTTTCCAAGTAGGGTGATGTTATGTTTAGGCCAATTATAAATCCAAAACTTGTCGTATTAGACAATAAAGTCATAATTGACTTATTAACTGACCATCTGTTAGAGTGTAGTTACAAAGAATACAGATGATTTAGCCTTTTCAGAAGTTGAACCTATAGAATATTCTCTTTTTTTACGGTTAGCATATCGAA